AATCTCCATTGTCGGACCTTTATGTGTTCTCTTTTCCCATCAAATCTATATCTTTATCTATTTTCTTTAAACCACTATGGTGTTTTTTCCACCTTCTTTCCAAATCTTTCACTAGCACCGTTTACACCGCGGCCACTACACTTTCTTTATAACCACATCTTTCATGACCACCATATCCACTGTATCCCTTCCACCATCGGATCTATTTTTTTTTTCCAAATCTTCCACCACCACCGCTTCCTGCGAAACCACCATCACCTCCTCTATAACCAATTTCTTCATGACGACCAAGACCACCGTATCATTTCCACCGCCGGATCTATTTTTTCACCGGATCTCCACCACCACTTACAAACAAATACATTATCTTGTAAAAACTATATATTCAGAAAGTTAATTGGTCTGTTCCATACCCCTACCCCACCACAAAAAAAGTTATTTACCCAATTTTTATGACGCATGGCTAATTACTTAATTTTCTTATAAAATTTGGCTAGTTTATAATATTATCCTATAAATTATGGTAATACACTCTCAATACGTATTACTTTTGCTAGGAAAAAGGAAAACTAAAATACTACTTTTGCTCAGTAATTTTTTAGTATCTCAAACTATTAATATTCACAACGATTAGGAGATCAAACAATGTGATAGATATTTTGTCTGGGACTAGGTTTTTTTTTTTTTTTTTTTGTGCACCCCTGGGACTAGTTTATTAATACCATTGTACAAGACGAGGACTATGTGCTTAATCAGTATAAATCACACATCAATTTTTATGGTAAATCTTAGAGTAATATTATAAACTAGCCAAATTTTACAAGAAAATTATGTCTCAATTATAATTTCAATATTTAGGGAATAATATTGAGGTTCCCTAAAGACTGAGACTTATAATGTCACGTGCCTTCATGAAAGTTGCATTAAATAAAAAAAAAAAAAAAAGTTGCATTTTGTTTAAGACTATCTTAAAACAAAGTTGATTCAGTCTTAAACTATGTTTTGATTTTATTTTATTTTTGTCAAACAAACTATGTTTTGATAATAGTAGTATATCGGTGAGAGTATTATATTACAAGTATTGCTACTTTGTTAATGCCTTAGTTTTATTTTATTTTGTTAATATAATGCATTTAAATAAAAGAAAAGTTCGAGGGGCCGGTACATGACTGAGTGAATGAGAAATGTGTCTCATTCCAACGCGGCCAACACGACCGGTACACGCTCCTTACGCGGTGTGATTGTTTCACTAGTAGACTAGTACTAGTGGGGTCTTTTTTAATTTTCGACTTTTATTTGATTTTTATTGTATTTGACCCTCAAGACGTTTTAAAAATCACAATTGAATCTCAAACTCATAGTTGTAATTCACATTCAACCCCTATGCAAAAATCAATGTAATTATTTTTATTCTTAATCAAAGCAGACTGTTAAATTTATGTTTTAGCTTAATTAGGGAAGAAACTCCAATATTATCACCAAATACCAATATTTATGCAGAGACAACAACACTGGCCTTTGAATAGAGTCATTCAAAAAGCAAAGAAACTTCATGATTAACTAGGTAAGCAAAGAATCATATGGTACACTCTATGGAGGCTGATAAGAGACGTGAAGTTGTATCATGTTTCATCTCTCCCTACAAATGAGAAACACGACATACCGGGGGTTTCAATTCGAGGGAAACATCAACCAAACCGAACCTTGTGTTGTTATCAAACTGATGTGGGGAAAGACAATGTTAGTGTATCTTGAGCAAAATGTGAAACAACAAAGATGTAAAGCCTGATCTTTAAAATGTTAGGAACGAGAAGCAATTACTACTTGTAAAGGTAGGTCTAACCTTTTCTGGTTCAAAAGCAACAAATCAGATTCAAGTGAGGAAATAGCTAAGCAAATGATACGATTTAAGGAAGAAGAAGAAGAAGAAGAGAAAGTCATCACAAGTGTTGACTAAGTTGACTTGGCAAATGAGGGCAAAGACTCTTTCACTATCAGAGGCTTTGCCGTTGAAACTCTTCTTCTTTAAATAGAGACTTGATTGCTACAGAGAGATTATGCTTTTGATGTTGAGAGTTCTCGTGAGAGACTTTGGCCTAGCGATGTGCTAGAAGAGAGATCAATGTTGATCTCTGTGTAATCGTTGCTTAGATCTATGTTGATTTGAGTATAACGATTCTTATCTTCTCTTTGTGGTTACGTAATCGATTCTATAATATCTATCAAGAGTTTACAGAGTTCAAGGTATTGAAACCTTAACAGCAAACCACAAAGAAGACAATATTTCTTCACTAAAACAACATTCGTGCGCATCAAAAAGAGTAGTCATTCCTTAAAGGCTAAAGCACAAATTGGCAAATTAACTAGGGAAGAAATTCGACCAATCTTATAAGTTAGGAATTTAACAAACGAAACCTTTTCTCCTCCTAAGAACAATTTATCCCAAAAATCCAAAATAGAAATTCCCGTAAACAAGAAAAATTAGTAAATTACCTACATCCTCAGTAACCCCTGATTTTCCTAGCCCGCTTCCTCTCAGCCGCCTCCATTTCCGATAATACGAAGGCCACAAGCTCCTTTTTCATCATTTCTTCAGAAGCTTTCACAAGAGCAAGAATCGGCTGATAGTAGTCAGAGTGAGCATGCATACACTTGTTCAGCCTTGGAAAGAATTCGTCACACTTCTTTGGGTGACTTTTAGCTTCGTCCACGCAATCTTTCAAAGCCGTAAATGACTCTTTGCAGGCACCCTTTATCATGAACTCGCTAACCCGCAATTCTATTCCCTCATCCCTCTCTGTCTCTCCTTCCTTTGGTTGATCATATGACGTATCTCCCACTGTCGGCGGGAATAAGGCGTAGAGCTCCCTCGCTACCATTTCTACAGTAGCCTCCGCCAACGCTTCATTATGAACTCTCTGTTTCTCCGCCGGGACTTGGTAGTATCCTGAATTGGACTTCGAACCCCCTGTTTTCAGAATCGTGGATAACGTGATCCCCATTTTCCTTAGCTCGGATCTTATTTAAATCGACGATTCAGCCGGTCAGTTTGTTTCCGTCGGTTTGTTGCTGTTGTGCTGGGATTCCTCCTTGCTTCGTGCTTTCGGTAATCTGGTAGTGTCCATGTGGTCCTTTTGTGGCACTTGTCTTTGGCTCAAATTCGGCATCTACAGGTTCTTTGAGGTGGTCGTTGGACTGGTTTGTTTAAGGTTTCACCTTAGTTCTTAGGATTCCTTGCCTCCTTTTCTGTTGTCTTAATGTTTGGTCTTCTGTTATTTCAGATCTTCGCTCTCTCTCTATTCTCTTGTTATTGGGTCTTTTAGTTGTTTGTTTGTCTCCGGGAGTTTATTTATACTCGCCGGCAAATGTCTCTGGGAGTTCTTGTACTCGACGGCTCAATTGTAGTCCAATCGTATCTTATGAATGAATATCAATTTACAGTGAAAAAGATTCTTTATTTATATGCTAAGAGAATAAAAGGTTTTTGTCTTTTTAGTTCGAGGGTGTTATAAACAGAAATATCATTCGAGGATTTTTTTTTTTTGGTAATGTTTAACTGTGACATGGTTTCTTTACTATATATGGCAAAAGATAGCAATAATCCTGCATTGTCTATCTACAAAAAAGTTAAGACCGTTAAAAAGGAACTTCATTTGACGATGATGATATATATTTTTTTTTTTGATAATTTTTTTTTTTTTTTTTTTTTGACGATGATGATATGCATCCTCATTTTTCTGTGATACAAACAACACGGAGTTTGAATGCACGTGACATTGCAAAGAGTGTAACAAAGGAAGAATGGTTTCAGTCATATTTGGTTTTGGGAGGACCGACATGTTTACACACGGGGATTGCAGATGAAGCAAGATGTTGAGGGTCTTGTAGTGTTCCCATTCATGTTTTTCCTTTGTTTTGAACACCTCTGTTTTTAATTCTGGACTTTTTTTCTTTCAATGAATTAAAAATACGAAAAAAAAGAGAGTAAAATATCACTTGAATTATTATTGTTTTGGAGTGGAGGCTAAGAGCACCCTCAACGGTGTTTTTTAGGACATATGCAAGGGTGCATCTTTGAAGTTTGATCTTAGGGAAAAAAAATACTAAAATATTGTAAGAGCTTTAATTAAGATCTTTTGTAAAGTAATTGATTATTGGTAGAACATGTTTAGATCATATGAATTAATAATTTAAATAATCAAAAACTTTAAATGATTTTTAAAAATTTACAAAATTATTTGTAAAATTAAAAACATTAAAGATATAACTGAAAAACATAAAAACATAAAAACTAATCTTGTGTCCACGACTTGTCCTAATGAGTTGATAGTATAAATTTCTCGGCAGTGTGATGGGAATATTCAATGTCGTACCACTCCATATTTGGTCATGATTTGATCAAATGTGCTTGCAATTCCCTTGGCTTCCCCTGCTTCCTTAGTTAGAGTATAGGCGAGTAACGGGTCTGATCCAACCACAATACGCCTGTATCAAGCAGAGAATAGAAGAGTGAGGAGGAACAGAAACGACGGCGATGATCGCCGGCGACGGAGATGGGAACGGACTTAAGCGGAGAACGCTAGGTTTCGCGCGAAAGAGAAACGACGACAACCCTAGGAGAAAAATCTGATTTTCTCCCAAAATGAAAACATTTTGTCTTCCAAAATTCAGAGCCAATACAAAGGTGCCACGTGTAACGAAGAACAAGGCTAAAAACTGTTCTTGGGCAAGAACGATCTTCTCTGATCTAAGCCCACTATTCAATTTTTCTCAATTTTTATAATCCTAAGAACATGGCCTGTGTTGGCCCGATGCATATGGTCTTATAGGTTTCTTACAAAAATCCTTAAAGTTAAAAGTAATTAAAATAAATGAAAACAACAAATAAAGTTAAAGATTGTTAAGTGTTTCATATGTGTCGCTTTCTGATTGGATCAAAAATATTAATAAAAGACAAAAAAAAAATATGCTTTCAAATCTTAGTAATATGATGGACATTCGAACTTGAGTTTGTGATCGGACAATGCATCAACAATTGAAAACTCATTTTGTTAAGCGTATATGGCAAAAATTTGATTTTATATGTATTTTTTATATGTTTTTATGTTTTGTATGTTTAAATTTTTTAGAAAATTATAATACTTATTAAGTTTTATCAAATAAAAATGTTCATAATTTTCATTTAATTTTTTTTTTTTTTAAGAAACCACTTTACCATTGGACAAAGAAAATTTTAAAAATTCATCATAAACTCTTAACTTCAAAATTATCATAATTTATGATTAAAAAATGTTTAAAAATCTTTTTAAGAATTCAACCATTGATGTTGCTCTAGCCTCTAAGGACGTCTACTGACAATGACCAATATTATTCCCAAATCCAATGCTGATGTTCCCGTAAAGAAGAAAAATTACCACAATCCTCTCAATCACCCCCTTCAGTTTGTTTCTTCGCAGCCATCACCCATTCCATCAAGGCTTCTATTTCATTGGACAATTGTTCCACAGCCGATTCCCCCAAGGCGATAATGGGCTGATAGTAATCAGAGTGAACATCACACACTTGATCAGCATTTCTTTGACTGCATTGTCTAGTGGATGGATAAGAGAGTGTTAAAATGTTATTCTGGTTGCAATTTCGAACTTTATATCTAATAACAAATTTACTACATTTTCTAGTATACTTTTTCCATGGAAGTTTTTGGTTATTAAATAAACAACAATTATTAAAGGGTTTAGGAGGAGATTAGCTATAAACAACATTATCCAGAATATCTCAATAATTTTCTTGAATGATACTAACGGAAACGACTACACACATTTATTTATAAGCAAAGGTATAAGCAAAGAGAATAAAGGGTTTTAGTTCTCTCGCGGTGTCTACAGCCAGAGATTTGTTATAATAAAAAAAATCAGAGTGTAACAAAAGAAGAAGGGTTTTAGTGTCATATTTGGATTTGGGAGTACCGGAATGGTTACACTCACTCTTGGATTGTTGATGAAGCTAGATGTTGAGGCTTTTGTGTACACGTTCATGTTATTTTACATCTCTGTTTTGAAGACGTCTAGTGACAATGACCAATATTAAACCAAATCCAATATTGATTATTCCCGTAAACAAGAAAAATTACCGAAATCCTCTCAATCATCCCTCGCAGCCGGTACCTTTTGCGAGAGGACGAAGGCTTCGACATCCTTGGCCAACTGTTCCACAGTAGATTCCCCCAGGGCGATAATGGGCTTATAGTAATCAGAGTGAGCATCTACACACTTGATCAGCATCGGGAGGTGTTTAGTACACTTTAAAACACTACCACTTTCCTTCACGCAATCTTCCAAAGTCTTAAATGATTCTTTGCAATCACCTCCTTTCATGAATTCGCAGAACCGCTCAACAAGTAGTTCGTCGTCCTTCTCTGTATCTCCTTCCTTTGGTTGATCAGTTGATGACTCTCCCACTTTCGGCGGTAATACAGCGTAGAGCAGCCCGTCTACAGCAGCTTCCACAGTCGCTCGAAAGTAAACTCTCTGTTTCTCCGGCCTGTCTTCCAGATTCGTGTAGACAATTTTCTCCCACGGGAATTGGTCGCTTCGCATATTGAGCTCGTCGGCAATCCCCTTGGATGACGATGACGTGACCCCCATTTTTCTCAACCGTGAGTCGGATCTTATGGAAATCGGCGATTGACTAAAGTGACTAGAGAGTTCGAAAGAGACGAACGAATTTGCTAGGGTTTTGAATTTGATATTAAGAAATACTCAATTGTGTGGGAAATCTTATCTACTGATATTACATATAGGTCCTTGAGTTATATAAGTATTAAATAATAAATAAATTCCTAGTTAGATGGAGATTAGCTTATCAATAATTTTTTTTTTAATAAACTTATATTAATAATCATCCCAAATTGGGCTTCTCGGTTTTGGGCCCATCAGGCTAAACAGTTACAAAAAAAGATGAGGAAATTTGGTAACAACGTCGGAAAAAGAGCGACGGCACATCGGAACGTCGACCGGAGTAAACGAATCCGATCTCGAGCCGAATCCGACGACAAGCCAAACCCGGAACAACTCTCCCGAGATAGATCAACCCAGAGACTGCCGCAACCTTGACTCTCCAATCCCCGACCAAGCAAAAGGAGAGACCAAAAACCTAACCCTCACCACCAACGCCGTCACCAAAACGAACTCATCCAAAAACACACCTAACTTCAGTCTTCAGATCCGGACAAGCAGAAACTTACCTCGGCAGTGGAGAAGGGAGATGGCTCCGTCAAACCTTCAACCACCAAGCCCCGAGATTAGCCATCGCAGATCAAAAAAGGACCCGTCGAAAACCGCTTGTCAAGCAGAGAACCCACCATCCGATACTCAACTTCCGCAACAAACCACAACATCATTCACATGTAGTCGAGCCGTGAGATCTTCTCCCCGAAACCTCCAGCGCCCTCAACCAGAAGCAGTATCGGAGGATATCCATCTCGTGACCACCGTGAACTCTGCCACCGTTCGCATCAAGCATCGGAAAAACCACGCCTCGACTCCGCCGGAGAAGGAAGGTTGTCCACCACTGCTTCGCCGAAGGACATTACACCGGCAGTGAAGAACAGAAGTAGAGATGGGGAGGGAGAAGTCACACACTCGCCGACAAAGTTGCCGGAGGAGCAACCTCTCCCTCAGATCTAAAAAAGCGGCTAGGTTTATAAGAGAAAGGACTTATCAATAATTTTCTTTGCCGTAGCTGACTCCTACAACCAAAACGATCATCCGAGGATTGTTTTTGGTAATTTTGATTTCAACATGGATAATAGCATTTGTTTGACCCAACAAAAAAATAGCATTAATCTTGCGTTGTCTAGTTAGTGGATGGATAAGAGAGTGTCAAAATGTCATTCTGGTTGCAAGTTCCAACTTTATCTAACAACAATTTTACTACATTTTCTATTATACTTTCCATGGAAGTTTTTGGTTAGTACATACATAAGCCACTGAACATAAAAGGATTTAAAATTTGGAGATTTACACTCACAAGACACGTCAGTTCCATTGAAATTGATAATAGGATTTGCATTCGATAGTGTTACAAAAGTAGAGATACAAACTCAAGATTTCGAAACATAACAAGATATTTTTTGCTAGCAGAGCAATGTTTCTTCTTCGTTACTGGTTAATTTAATGGCGATGGTGAGGGCAAAAGGTGACGATGTAGTTAGCCTTGGAACAAGTGGCGATGCTGGTTGGGTCATCGTAAGCGTATGAGTAAGCTTTAGGGCAAGCGACTTTGAAGATTTTGGAGTAAGCCGTTGGTTTGCAAGACAGTGGGTTACCGAACAAGCCGGTGCAACAGTACTGTGGTGAATTGAAGGCAGAGCAAGCACTTTTACAGGCTACTACATGTTTCCCGTTACGTGACCGGACTTGTAACCCAACCGGACACATCCGGTTTAGATCGCTTACACAACCGGCGTAGCTACATTGACCGGAACCTTTAACCGGCATTATCGACATCGCCAGGTTATAACTGTCATTACAATCAAACAAACATAAATAAGCAAATTAGTGAAAATTAGGAAGCAAATTTGATGTAAAATTTACAGACCCGTCCACGAGGCTGACGTCATAGAAGTCTAGCTCAGGGCCGAGAGTGATTTCGGCGAGAGTGGCCGGAGGTTCACCTCCGGCACCGTTGCAGGAGAGAGAACCGCCGCAATCTCCGGTGGCGCAATGACCACGGCCAGATCTGTCGAAGGTGCAGCCGTGGCGACCCCAGAAACGGCCGGACCAGAGTGGTGGGAGTTGAAGAGAGTGGGCTTTGTTAGCCGAGAGCTTAAAACCACCGCCGGCGAGTAAGTTTTGGCCGGCGCTGGGTTGGATACCTGGCCACACTGGGTGTTTGCATTTGTTGTAGAAGATTACCGTTGAAGCTGCTCACAAAGAAACAACAACAAAGCTAATGTGATTAGAAAAATCTGCAACTAAAATATCTATAAATCTATACTAAAATGTGCATTTTTATGCGTATATGGACGGGATTGAAGCAAAGACTAAAATAAACAGAAACTTTAAAGATCTAGCTGGAAATGTGAAGAGAAACCTGAAGCGTGAGAGAGGAGAAGAAGGAGAGCAAAGAGGAAGAGGTTGATTGAAGCCATTGATGGAGCTCTACTGAGCAAGAGTGAGACTGAATCAACTTGTTACTTACTTCTCAATGCTTTTTATGGAATTTTAAGAAAAATATTTATTAGTACTATATTTTTTGAAAAAAATGAGAATTTGGGGAATGTAATAATGGCAAATGTTACCACACTTCTCGAGACTGTCAGACCAGAGTTAGTGCGTAGTACTAGCTTTTTTCCTTTTACACAGTCAAAATAATGTAAGTAGCCATTTCATCCTCACTTTTCACTCTTCATATTCGTATAAAGGTTTGCAGCAACACTCGATTTGACTAACGGCTACAAATGAGAAATAAAAAAGAACTAGGGGTGAAATTTGGTACGGATCAATATACGTAATTACGTATCACATGGAGTAATAGTGAACAATGCATAAAGTAGTAACATTTTATTAATTAATTTAATTTTACCTTTTGGACGCAGATCCTAACTAAAACGCCGATCTTGTGGATGTGCTTAGTCGTCGACGCTTAAAAGTAGGTCCCATGTCTCCCTTCATCCGATAGATTCGCTTCTTGGAACGGAATGCTTGTCACTCTTCACACTCTTCTAAACAAATTTACTACTACTACTATTTTTTTATACTGTACTTAGTTATATCAGTATGATTTAATATACACAACACAACTGCTAAAAAGGTTATTGATCTTGGAAATGTGTAAACACTTGTTTGTATTTGTGGTTATACTTTATATATATATATATATATATATATATATATATATATATATATATATATATATATATATATTCAAGAGGAAATCTACACTTTTTAGCAAAATTCATTTTTTAGTTGTAAGCAAAACTATTGTATGGTTTGTACTTGACGATGCACTTTATATAAGTGTGTAGTAAACTATAAGCAAACACGATTAAAGTCTATCTAATAAATAAGCATGGTAAATATAACTTTTCTCGGCTAGTTCAAATTCAAAAACAAAAGACAACATAGGCATTGAAGATTCACTGAGCTAAAAAAAAAAAAAAAAAAAAAAAAGATTCACTGAGCTTTAAAGTTTTGTTAATAAACGTTATGGGCCATGTCTATAAGAGATATAGGCCCTACATACACAGTATCACACATTTTGGTTCGAAGTAAAGTTTTAACTTTAACTGTACATTTTGAAGAAAAAAACACCAAAAAGCCATTATTCTCTGCTATTACAATGACGAAAACGATTATCAAGTGATTACCGTGGGAACGCAGCGAGGTGTTGGGCCACGTCAGCGTCGAGGGGTTGTGCCACGTCAGCGGCCACTGGATCGGCAACAACGACGACTTGTCTACGTTGTCTTTCCCGGAGATAGAGAATTGTAATGAGACAGACAAAGAGTGTAAGTATCGTTGCATTACCTTCTTCAAACACCACATTCTCTATCCAAGTCTCCACCTTTGGATACACTTCTGGTAATGAATCCACAACTCTCACCTATTATTAAAAAAACCATTTCCTCTTGTCATTTTGATCTGTTAAACTGCATCCAACTATTTAACATAAGAATGAGAAAGGTATGGTTTTTTATTTTACCAGGACGGTATCAGCATAGTTTCTACGGAGCCATAAGCTAGCGAGAGCAAGTGTGACTGGCAATCTGGCGGCTGCATCGCTCTGAAGGGCTTGATCATAGTAACGTTTTGCTAAATGGAGATCAAAGGGAAGTCCTTGTCCATGTTCATGCATGTAACCGAGGTTGAACATTGCTTGCGCGTTTGACTGTGATTTAGCATGCATGTATGCTTCTGCCGCACGCACAAAATCTCTCTCGGTTCCCTAATTAGAGATCAAAGAATGAGTGACAAGAGAGAATCAGGCGAAAAGTCTCAAGTTTTTTTCTAGCTGATTCACATCTACCATTGTAACATGTCTTAACGTTATCAGTTTCATGATCTAATTTCAAACACGAGGAAAACTGACCCGGCCATAGTAATATGCATCTCCAATGAGCAGAGCAGCATGTTCATTGCCTTGTTCAGAGGCCCGCCACCACAAAGAATGTGCCCGCTCATGTCTCTCTTTGTCTGTGCAAAATCCAGATACTCCCATGCACATGCTTCTTTCCCCGTATTTATCAAGGATCCAGGCAGCGTTACTTTGTGCTACTTCATAACCCATCTCTGCCATCCTTGAGTACAAGATCAAAGCCTTACCCACATCACCTTTTAAGTAAGCTTCAAGAGCCCATCTAGAGAGAGAACTCCACGGCCCCCTTTCTGCTACCAACTTATAAAATGAAGTTGCCTGTAACCAAAATGTGAGGGAAGTGAACAAAACAAGCAATTAAACCACAAATTCTCTCAACAAAGCTGGAGATGTCTCCAAACTGCTCAAAGAAAATTCCTAAAAATATAAAAGGAGTAGAAGTAAGACAGTGAAAAAATAACAAGCAGACTACCATCAATAGAAAGAAGTACTATATTGCACCCTGATGCCTTAAAGGATAGACGTCATAGACATCACTCGTACCTCAACACTAAAAAATACAACCTCTGGTCAGACATTATAATACTGATAAGGAGCCATCAATAGAATCGACAGTGAAATTGAGCTTCCCACATTCCTTGTGCAACTAACATTTTTTGGTAATGAGATTTCACATAACCAACAAAACAGTGAAATAATCTTCTGAACTTTAGAAGAGCGCCAATGTTTTTTGACTTTCGTTCCTTTTAAGACTTTATGAATTTAAAAGCCATTTTATATGGCATTCATGTTTAGGCAGGAAAGTCTCAGAAATCTAAAAAAATTTACCATTTCCAGGTTCTTTTTAAGCCCAACACCAGTATGGAACATCTTGGCGAGTTGATAGAAAGCCTTTGGTTGACCAGCATTTGCAGCAACAAAGAAATATTTTGTTGCCTGCCTCACATCCCTTTTGACTCCGATGCCTTTAAGATACAAAACTCCAAGGTTATAATGCCCACTGGGGTCTTCATTGTCAACAGCCTTCTCAAAATATTCTCTTGCCTGCATTTGAAGGCATATATCAATGGCAAGTTAGACTAGTCTATAAAGAGTAAGCGTGAGAATTGCGAGGCCAGGAACGAAGAGCCTACCTTAGTGTAATTTTTCTTATCTACTCCATAGCCTTTGACATACAAGTAGCCAATTCCATTAAATGCTGAATAGAGACCTTCCTTTGCAGCAAGTGTAAGCCATTCAAGTGCCTTGGTATAATTTCTTTCAACACCAGCTCCTCGAGCATATATCTCCCCCAGAAGTTCCATTGACCTCGGCTCTCCTTTATCTACTGCTTTCAAAAACCAGTGCAATGCCTTGGTGTGATCACGCCTTAATCCTCGTAGGCCAAAGTAGTAGAATAGTCCAATTTTGTACATTGCATTAGCATTCCCTTTCTGTGCCTGATATTCCAATATCTGGAAATCTTCATCCTCCTCGCCACGGGATTTCCTTAGAGCACCTTTGTTTTCTTCAGTTCCGCTATGAATTCTAGTCGGTTCAACCACCGGAGAATCCTTTGAGATCAGAAAACTATTGACAGCCGTCTCAGCTAATTCAGCATATAATTGCACAGCTTTATCATGCATCTGTAACAGAATGGCAAATCAATAACAAATCCAGCTACATAAAAACGTTTGATAAGAAACTCAAAAGCTTAAAGTTGTCTTCTTTTGCTTACATCTTGACGCAAATACGTGAACGCAAGTGCCATCTTCGACTGCATATTCCCACCAGCAGCTGCGAAACTATGGTGAAGAAACGATTTGCTTTTGCTCTTCTCTCGCATCATTCCAATCCCGTAAACGAACCCCATTATCGACTGTGCGTGTGGATCTCCAGCTGAAGAAGCAGCCTCTATCTCGTCCACTGCTTCCTCCATCAACCTGAAATTTCCCTCACTCGCCGCCGATAGAATCCTTTTGAGGCCGGAGTAGTACTGCGGCGACGCGGCTTGGACAGTGGAGTCATCTGGCTCGAAGATCGATCGCCATGAACCGGGATCAAGCTCCTCTTCGGACTTAGGTTCGGATTCCCCAAACTCATCGAAGTCAGAGGACTCTCCGACTCCGTTATCATCGCCGCCGCTATTGAGATCGTCATTTGAGAGGACGAGAACAACGGGACGAGCGTGAACGCTAAGTTCAACGAAAGAGAAAACGAGTAAAGAGAGAATAACGATTCCGTAACCTGAGATTCTCATTCTACTTCTTCCTCCACCGGTTTCTTCGTCGTCGCCGTAGTTTCTCAGTGATCAGATCGAATTTCAGATGGATGACCAAAGAAAGAACGACGATGAAAGGATAGTTTCGTCATTTCATGCAATCCATAAATTGCCACGTCGCAGATCCAATAATCACTCGCCACGTAATTAGACTTGTCTTCAAACATTAAATCCAATTTTTGGGTTCGGTTTGTTAATTATTCGATTCAATGTTCGGTTTAGGTGAAATCGAAAGCATATTTAATTTTGTTTATTTTATATGCATATAATAAATAGAAACAGAGGACTAAATAGAAGAAACAGAGGATCAAAGAGTTTTAGTCTTGAATCTTGTCTTCGTCATCAGGCTTCATTAACATCCACTGTAATGATTGAATCACTTGTTGATCATACACTTGCTTCTGTTCCGCGACTCTCTTGTATTGCTTTGCCTCCATATCCACAACGCTTTTCTCCATCCGTAGCTTCAGAAGCATAGCCATGGCTTCTTCAGCAGCTGATTCAGCTGCTCTTCTCTCCTTCTCCAGCTCTTTCTTCATACAATCTCCACGTTTCCTCTCTCTCTTCACCATTTTTCTCAGAGTAATTACGTCGAACACTTGGTCTTCATCACTCCGAGGCCGTGATTCTTCTTCGTCCTCGCTTTCCTCTTCTTCGCCATAATAATTCTTCTCGTCGAGCTCTGTCTCCGATAATGCCACAGTACTGTCTCTGTTCTTGATGTGATCACAGCTCAATCCATTAGTAGAATCAGAACTCCAGTGTAAAATGATGGGTTTCTTCTGATCCAATCCATCAACCAAATTAGATTTTGAAATGAACCCATTGTTGTTGCAATCCTTATGTTCTCGATCGAAGGCATTGAAACACTCAATCTTCGAAGAAATTCGATAGATCTTCTCTAAATACTGCAAAAACAATGAAGTGCCTTTGAAAAATAGAAACTTTAGTCCCAAAAGAAGCAAACAACAGAGAAAGACGAGATTGAAAAACTGAGAGGAGCAACCAAAGACGAAAATCCCAAATCCAAAACCATCAGTTTCACTCAAAAGCTTCAGAAATGAAGCAATCTCCATTAAAAAGAAGCAGACATCAATGGATAGGAACGAAGCGACTCATAAAGATAAATAGTTGGAGTTCGAAAAAAAACACGAAAAAAGAAAGAAAGAAGAATTTGAGTCCCAATGAAGAGAATGTGTGTGAGAGTTAGCGATTTTTGATCGGGTAACGAGAAAGATAAACGGCGAAGATTGCGAGGAATATATATGTATAGGAGATAATATCCAGCCCATGAATAATTAGTAGTTTTATCCGATCATAACTACTCAAATATTTGCCCATTTAGTTTTCTATGTATATTTGACTTAAGTAAAAAACAAAAAAAAAAACAGTTAAAAACTGATTTCTTTATTTCCAACAACAGTGCATCTGCATTGCATTCATCTTCTTTGGATGTGATGTAATATTATCTGTTTTTTATTCTTTGGATGTGATGTACAACTGAACTAAACAAATTGATCGGACATTGTTCATCAACAATAACTCAAGCTTTTCCAGCAGAGCCAAAGAGACGGATCTTATCGGTGATCACAGCTTTCATGGCTGCTTTTGTTGCCGACATGACATCAACAAGGTCGGTCTTCTTCCCAGAGCTAAGAGCTTCCATGTAAGCCGTTCTTACTTCTGTGTTCACGTTGAACTTCCTCACTCCATTTTCAATGCATTCCTGATTTCAGACAACAAGATTCATAACACCCACAAAGACGTTAATTCAGTTAAAATCCATATCAAGATCTTGATCAAAAGAGAAACTTTTCCCGCCGATTTTATTAGTTTTCTATTACCAAACACTAAGAAACTTTCAAACATGATAGACTCATACCTTGATAAGCTTCTCAGACAAACCAGAAGCTCCATGAAGAACAAGAATGACGCCTTTCTTTGAGCTTAAGGCGTGGAGTTCCTATATACATGGTGATCAGTTAGAATAAGAATGACACAAAGTCAGCACATCATAAAACTTCTTCACTCAGCACAAGAATTTAATTAACCTTAAGTAAGTCAAGCTTGAGTTTTGGACCGGACTCGGGGTATTTTCCATGGACATTTCCTATACACACAGCCAAAGCATCTATACCAGTTTCCATAAATTCCTCAGCCTGAGAAAGTCATAAAAAATATTTGTACTTTGGTTTAGCAACATAAATTTGGTAGGTGAGAGATTGGATTCATCGGCGCTTAAAACCAACAAGGACCTGGTGAACGTTGGTGAGCTTTGCTTCATAGTCTTCAACAGTCAAGCCATCCTCTGTTCCTGAGAGTCGACCTAGTTCAGCTTCCACCATAATGTTTTTGGAACGGGCCAACTCTGTTATGGATTTCGTGTAGGATAAATTTTCTGTGAAGGAAAGATGAGAACCATCTACCATCACTGAATCTAATCCCTGCAAGAAATAAATTTGGTATGAATTTTTCAATATAAGAATAAGTAAAAGATGACAAAGAGATTGCCATAAGTGATAGAGATCTCAAACTTACTAGCTCAAGAGCTTCTAATAGCTCATGCTTTGTAGTTCCATGGTCAAAGTGTACGGATATTGGAACCTGCCACATTGTGCATATTAATCAGAGAGTTCAGTGTCAAGCCCATGTATTGGGTATTTAGCATCAGCACTTAAGTTTTGATTTCAATGTCTATTCCGGAAAAAACACATACGAAAGCTGCAGAGCGAGTTCAAAACTACATGACTATTAAAATAAAGGTATGCATCTAAATTCTTATGCAGAATTAAAATTCAGTCACAAAGCCCATTTACCCTAGCTTGTTCAGCTGCAGAGATGCAACATGAAACCAATGGAATGCCTCCTTGCTTGAAGGCACCTGGATGGACCTAAAAGCATAGCCAAAACATAGCCAAAAAAAGAAAGGTCAGCGTCCATTTCATTTTGTGTCGGACATTCTACAATTCGGAACAGAATGTTATTCTTTAGTTGCTATTGTGACTCATATTTCTCATATGAACTCTTTTATGTATCAGAGATCCACTTTTAGTCAGAAAACTAACCTGCAATATGGCAGGACTGTTTTCTTCCTCTGCAGCTGCTACAACAGCTTCTACTCCTTCCAGGTTATACACATTAAATGCTCCAACTGCATATCCACCTTTTTCTGCATTCTATTTTACATAGAAAGACAACATCAATATAAGAAGAGATATATGAAGCTAGAGAACGAGAAGGATACTCACAAGAAGCAGCTCTTTTGTCGACCGTCCTGCTACCACTGACCAAGACTTCACAACTTCTGCAAGCGCTGTGCTGTTACCAACATTACCTGTTACAAATGGAGAAAAAGAGTTGATTAAGAATGCCTATTTTCTTCAGTTAAATGTTTTGAATACAAATTAAGATTTACCAGGGAAAACAATGTAGGGGACCCCTGGATGTCTACTTTCTGGACCTAACTTCCATACTGGAACACCAGCAAGGGCTTGACCAATCACAAGTGCACGTCTTGCTTTAAGTGCTTTTGTTGCTGTGTCTGATGACGTAATTCCACCCTAAACAATGAGGTTACAATGTCAAAGAATTCGAAAGGCTTTGGATCATAGAACAGATGCAATTTCAACTGTGCATTGACAGAGTGTGTCAGGAAGTTTATGAGATGGAAAGATAAATATAGAAGCTAAATACCTTAGCAAGAATATAACGAGGTCTGGTTGATATCTGGCTCACTACTTCAACCAGAGCGGAGCTCACTTTGCTGTTAATATCAAGACTTTCGGAAGATGCTGTCAAAATGAATATCAGACCCGTTAATGATGATATTCCTCAGTCATGACTTTATACCAACGACAAAAAGATATAAAGATTTGAATAGAGAACAACTTTTCCCCGTGATGAGTTCACGACTGCTCATAATCAGAGTCTCCCTGCCAGCCCGAAGGAAAGCATCAGCCATCTCAACTGCTCTTCTGATTTCTTCCTCTCTCACTTCGGATGACTTGAGAGCAACTTTTTCTACAGAGATCTGTTGATCATTGCTAGAACTTAGCAAACAAAGCATGCATGTGGGAAAATACAATATCCCGTGCTACATCTACTTCCTGTACCTCGATGCTCCTTAACTTCTGCTTATGTTGTGATTGTAGTTCTTCAACCTGTTAGTTTGAAGAAAATGACTCAGCACTCTTTACCTTTGTTTCATTGAAAACATAACAAAGAAATTAGTGTTGTTAGTAGATAAGCTAACCTGCTTTGTTGTTTTCGGGACATATGAGCCTACAACTATTAGTGCACCACTACTTTCTTTGTTAGATGCGAAATCTTTCGGCAACACAGGATCTTTTGGAATAATCCCTATTAGAGCAGACACAAAGCTAGCAGCAGTGCGGCATAAAAAGGATCTCCCTTTCAGTTCTGCCTGCCATATATAATGTTCAATGGAAAGAAGGGACCAAAAATATAAGAGCAAAATAAATGTATCCTCTAATTGAATATGCCACAAAAAATTAAAGACTAGAAGAGTAATTGGGCGGCTTACCTGGATCATCCCCGCTGCAAATACAGCCATGTCTCTTTCACTAGCGGCGTTGACAATACATGTAGACCCCTGAATTACATATGAAATGGAAATAGAGTTAAGACTTTCTACACAACTGGGACTAATTGATTTCACGATTATGAAGACCAAAAGTTCACGGAGAGCACCATCATGAAGTCATCTCAAAATCTGCTTGGAAAATTTACCTTCTTTAAACTGCATAGAAACTCACACACTGCATCAGGACCACCTTTTCTTAAAAGCTGAATTGGGATCGACTGAACGCTGTTAGCCGGAATGATGCCAGCTGTTTTCTCCTCAACCCACTGGAATCATATCAAATTCTTCCTTATTAATAATTTCTTAAAGGGTCAAATAATATAAGATGATTCCCTTGTTGTAAGAATTCAGACCTCACGGAGATTTGAGGATTTATATCCAAAGGATGCGTCTTTGGCAAACTCTGTCTCTCCTGCAGGAACGAGCCTGCAATATTCAAGATGAAGACCATCAATCTTCATCCTCTGAAGGGAACTTTTCCTTGATTCTGGAAGTTTGAAAAAATTAAATACACACACATGTTGCTCACAATGACATACCTATCAGAATCCGCAACATAATGCACATCATTAATAGTATAACGTCCTCCTTGAAGGAAGAAGGGGCAAATAATCCATGCATCCATTTCCCCAAGTATTGAGACAGCAGCATCTGCTTCCTGTATGTGGATCATAATATCAAGTTATGACAGAAACAGATGTCAAGCTCAAATCATAACATTGACATGATAGTCTGCTATTTCATGATAGGGTTACCAAACTTGCCTGAGGAAAATGACCACGTAATGTTGAATCACCCCTCAGAACAATAGTGTAGTCAGCGTTGCCAACTTCTTTTGATGCAGCACATAGGTTGGAACAGATGTCTTTGATCAACGCACTAGCCTGTTGAAGAAATATGCAGTTAGAGCTTGCGATTGCTGAAGTTGAGTGACATTAGTTTTCATTCATGAGACTAGAACTTTCCAGCCAATAGACTACACAAAATAAAAGAAATGTCTTGACCTTCTCAGGGCTTAATGACCTTGAATTTGTCAAAATGAAGAAGCATGCAGGCTTTTTTCTGAACTGCTCAGAAATAGATTCAACACTCCTGTCAAAATGTAGGGAAAAGAAATAACCAATTATCAGTTCTTTCCATTGGGTTCTAGGCTAGCGACTTGCCAATTATTTCAATGAAAGATTCATGATATCTTTTGTGTTGACAAGACAAATTCAGTTTCATAGAGAAAGTATGCAAGACTAACCATTCAGTTAAAACCTCTACGTCATGAACAGTTTGTGTCCCGGTTGGATCATCATCAAGAACAACCAATGTCTTCGAGTTTCCCATATTTAGTCTATGTATGTCAGCTGTAGGGTCTAAAGGCCATTCAGATGGAAGAGAATTCAGTAGGTCTTGTTTCTTCAGAACAGGAAGTCTCCCTTCGACTTTAATCCCAGCAAGGGTTTCATATACCTATAAATATAATAAAACGTTTCAGTTACTTACAGCTTAATAAGACACCAATCTTGACACTGTTATAGCTTCATATGTCCATCTATGGCTAAGAAAGATAACCAGTAAACACTATAAGTAGATCTTGTTTCCAATAGTTCATAATCTATAAGAGCAAACTCCAAAATCTTTCGGCTTCGGTATCAATAAAAAGCACCTTAAACTGTATATTTGTCATTTACTAGCAAACGTTTGCATTTTCTTTCACGTAAAAAGAGGATTTCTATTGTTTATAGAGACG